CATGGATGGAACTGGAGAGCATTATGCTAAGCGAAATAAGCTAGCCAGAGAAAGATAAATACCACATGATCTCACTCATTTGTGTGATATAATGATCAACATAAACTGATGAACAAAAAGAGACAAGGTAGCACTGAACAGACAGTCCACCCTCAGAGAGAAGGCAGGGGAGGAGGGGTGGTTAGAAATCAACCAAAGGACTTGTATGCATGCATATTACCATAACCAATGGACACAGACACTGGGGAGGTGGGAGCTTGCCCTGGGAGGTGGGAGTAGTGGGGGGGGGGGTCAATTGGGGGAAAGGGAGATGTATGTAATACTTTAAACAATAAAAAAAAAGAGTAAAGTACTACAAAGTACCCATTGTTATTATGGAGAAGGTTTCTCTGCCTTCATGCCATTTTTTGCCTTCTGCCATAGTGAACTAATTTTAATTCCCCCAAACTCAGGCCCTTGCATTGCTTCTGGATCTTAGATCATACAGCTCCCTCAAAGTGTGTTTTCCCTTTAATGCCTGGAGAGCAAACATTCACTTTTTTAAAAGGTTACCTCCTACAAGAAACCTGCCAGGATCACCTTAGGTAAAACTGATCACTCAGTCTCTCCTTTTGCCAGCCTCTATGTCTTGTATATGTTCCTAATATCATACAATGCTTCCTATTTCATTAATTCTAGGAGGTACATTTTTCCCATTTCAAAAAAAATCTCTGAAATGAGACTATCTTACAATCAAAGGTCTGTCATAATATAATTGGCAGGATTTTTTTTATTTCTTGGAAGTACATAAAAAGGTGCATCTTAACTCAAGAGCATTGGTGAAATGCAGCTTCATTTTTTAATTTTCTAAGGTGAATGGAGCAGTGCTTTGCATCTGGAGGCATTCCAGCTTTCCCTCTCATGCACGCACATTTGGCAATATTTGGTTTTATCAACTCAAGGTGGGGGGGTAGGGCACCAGGGAGGTATCCCCCTGGCATCTACTGGATAGAGGCACAGGACAAACCCCCATAACAACTGTCCAGCACAAAATGTCAATAAAGCAGAGGCTGAGAAACCCTAAGGTAGAGTAATAATGCTTATTTGGATGTATGATATGCTTTATTATGTTTGGTTTTTAAATCAGTCTTTTATAGTGGGTATGCAATCTAATATGTAGCTATTTTTTTTCCAAACCTTGGCTTTGTACAGCACAAATAGCAATTCTTGAGAAGTGCTCTAAGCTTTCTTCATCATCCCTTCCCAGTTCCTTCTGCTAGACTCCCAAGGGAAATGAATGATGCAATACTCCAAGTCAAAACTGGAAAGCCACAAGGCCTCCAAGAGATTGTGACCTTAAACCACCAGTTAGGTTAATTAATGTCAAGACCAACACTGTAGCCCAGACCCCCAGATTTCCAGGATCCTTCTCAGCCTGGGAGGCAGCTGCTCTGTTTCCTGACAGTTGGGTATCTTAAGAAGAAAATGCACTCTACAAACATGAGGTGTGTGACTTGGTAGGAGGTTAGCATTAGAATTCGCGCTTTGCCCTGGCCAGTTTGGCTCAGTGGATAGAGTGTTGGCCTGCGGATGAAAGGGTCCCAGGTTTGATTCTGGTCAAGGGCACATGTCTGGGTTGCAGGCTTGGTCCAACCTGCAGGAGGCAGCCAATCAACGATTCCCTCTCATCATTGATGTTTCTATCTCTCTCTTCCTCTCCATTCCTCTAAAATCAATAAAAATAAACTTTAAAAAAAATTATATGACAAAAAAAACCTATAGAATTCACGCTTCAACAGTAGGGATCCACCCCACTCTATCTCACTTTATGAGAATTAGACTCTCTAAGGTCCCCGAGCTCTGTGGGAAACTCTATGCATGCAAAAATAACTGTGATTCATAAGTTTCAAAGGACTTTAAATTAATGTAGGTGATTTTGTCATACAGAAGGCAGTGGGGACCTAATACATGTATTTACGGCCCTGGAAGAAGGGTTATTAAGTTGGAAGGGGGAGTAGGGGAGCTGACCTCCATGCCTGTGGAAAGGGCCTTCAGCTGGAGCAGGAAGCTGATTTACTACGTAAGAGAGGAAGGAGTTCCAGAGGCCTTTGGCAAGGCCTCTCCTGCTTCTCTGCTCCATACTCAGGCGGCCCCAGGTGGGCACCTCCGCACCCACCCCTCATTCCCCACTCTGAGTTCCCTGCCATAAGTGCGAGTCCTCCTCCTATCCCCACCCCCTTCACTCTCCCGGGAGCAGTGAGCAGCTCAGCTTGGGATCCTGTGACCCCACCCAGTCTCCATCTGGGCCCTGCAGCCTGGGCCAGCAGGGGGATCCGGCTCCCGAGGGGCGTGCTGGAGGCCAGACTCACCTTCAGGTGGATGGGGAAGGATCGCTCCTGAAGCAGGGGACTCAGCAGTGTCTGCTCCACACTGACCAGCTCTGAGGTCGAGTCCACCACGCGGGCCAGTGCACTGCGCATTGCCATCCATGCCAGGGTGCATAGCCCGCGGCCCTGGGGGCAGGGCAGCAGCTCCGCGCCCCCCTCAGCGCCTGGCACTACTTCTACCTCGGGGGAGCTCTCCTGCCCCCGGAGCTCCCCATTCCTCAACCCCCGGCCTCCGCTGCCCTCCTCCCGCCCCAGCCCCACCCGGGCCCGCCGCGGGCCTGAGCGACGCGGTGGGGCGGCGGACACGTGGTCTGGGTCGCGCGAATTTCCACGGGCGCCCGGACCGTCCCCCCAGCCCCACTCCTGCTGCAGGAGTCGCAGGGTCTGCAAAGCCAACATTTGGTGGCTGATGGAGGCCACTAAGGGCGCGGGGTTGGCCATCGTCTCCTTGGCTGGATCTATGCGCTCCGCGGGCAGGTGGGGCAGCGAGAGAGGGAGGAGGTGGGTGTTTGAGGTCGCCGGGGTCACATTTCCTAACCCGCGGCTCCCAGGCTTCCAGGCCTCTCGACTTGTGGCGCTGGCCCCGCCCCTGGCCCACGGTCGGTGATCCGAGCTGGCCAGTGCATTTGCTTAAAGTCCAAATCGTCTTGTTCAGATCCAGGCTGCTGGAAGCGCTGCTGCACGGGCACTTGAAAATCAGCCAGCTGCTGAGCTCTAATTCATCCTCCTCTCTGGGGTCCTGCTGAGAAAACATCCCGCATGTGCATACATATCTGCAGCATTACCCCACCCTCATCTCCTTTGAAAGATGCTTGCCAATGTCCATTAACGCTCTGGGGCTGGGGGTGGGAGGAACATAAAAGACCCTCCTGGGAGTGAAAGTGTAAAGAACCAGAGAAAAGCTCACAAAGGAAGACTGTGCCTGATTCTTCTCTCTCCCTTTCTCACAGCCCTAGGAGAATTTTCAGGAATTTCTTGAAGTATCCTTAAAGGCCACTAGGCCCCCCAAGAAAAGAAAGTGACTGTGTCTCAAAGTCCTGCAGTTCTCCGTGTTGCCCCATGCAACAGGTGCTTGGAGAGCCTGACCATGGAAGTGGCATCAGGGCGAAGTCCTCCAGGCCTGCTCCTGGTGAAACTGGGGTAGGCACTGCCCAGGTGGAGCATAAAGGGTTTTGTGTGAAACTCCCAAAGGACTTAGGCAGCAGGGTTTGAAGCTAAATTCTTTTACAAGCCATGAACCCAGGGACAGCTGTACAAATAATTGTGGTTTTAATTAAACCTAACTTCACTACTTCCTTAACTTATGTTTTGATAGATTAGAAACTATTGGTGTGCAATTGCACTTTAAAAAAAAAAAAAAAGACATTAGAGGGAATGATATGGAGGACTGTCCCAGAGGGGCATCATTTCCACTTCCTTCCTGTGTGGGAAACCAGTGAAATAACCTAACACAGTAAAGCAAGGGGCAAAGGTATAGGCCCATGGCAGACAAGTGGACCGTAGCACACCTAAAGGATGGATTTCATTTTTCCTTTGTAAGGGAGGGTCCCATCTGGGTGTTGTGGAGTGAAATTGGGAGAGGTCCTTGCTCGCTTCGGAAAGCTGCTCCAGTGATGATCAGTCTAAAAAGGAAGTTATCAAAGATGTGGGGAGGGGTTCAGGGTCCTTTAAGGTTTCTTTAACTCTGGGAGAGTATGACCCCATGTATTTCTCCCAACTCTCCAGGGATGATTCCTTCTCCTTCTCACTGATTTTTTTTTTCCATCTATGAAAACAAATCACAATGCCAAGGTAAAGAAAACCTTTCTTAAACAAAAATTAGTATGCTCACACTAATTATAAGTAAATAAAAATCCATGTCTGTCAATTGACAAAGAGAAAATTACTGTGGAGACAAGTAAATAGTTCAATGTTGATTAGATTCTCTTCCCATGAAGTTACTTAACTTCACAATAAAAAAATAAATTATTCTGTCTGTGTGTGTGTCAGGGGGAGGTATTTTATCCTCAAGTGTTGGAATACATTAGGTTCAACAGAGACTAACCAGGAATAGCTAAAACTAACTCCTAATTTTCTCAGAGCATGTCAGATCTCCAGGGGTGCTCCTGTTTCCAGATATGCAGGAAATCCAGTTTCATGGGCTAACCCTACTGCTATCGAATGGCTGACTGTAAAACCTGCTTGACAGATGGAATTCCAGCCAACAGCACAATTGAAATCACTAGACACAACCTGACCTGTGACCCCACTGTTCTACATACCAGGCTGAGTCTGAGAGCCATGAGACCAAATGAATTTCAGGGGTATGAGGAAAGGGGCCAGAAAAAAACACCGGGCCTGTGGGATGGCACATGCCACTTAAAAGCTGCCTGGGTTTCCCAATATCCTTTGAGAGTACTAGGTTATTAAGCAACCCAGCCTTTGTCTGTCTTGGCCATGAGCCACTTTCCTTGAAATGGCTGATGTTCCAAAGCTGGAGATATGAGGCCCTAATTGAGGAAACATATTGATTCATAGGCTAACAAGATGATTCAATAGCATGGCAGCTCTGCCTTTGATTTAAAACCTTCAAAGTTATATATTCTGGCCTACCAGACCAAGTAACAAATCACAACTCCTTAATTTACTATACTGACAATTTCAGGCCATTCTGTAATAAAAGGCACATTCAAAAGGATAAAGTACTGGACACATGATGTTTTTCCTTCACAGTATCTATTTCACTATTTAATGGAAACCATATCCTCATTTCCCAGTAGATATTCTTCCCCTTTCTCCACACTCAGTCCATGTAGTCAGATGGGATAAACTCATCCTACTGCAGAAGTGGACTGGGGCATTGAGGCTGAGGCCAATCACACATCACATTCCCATTATGTATGGTCAGGGAAGCATATATGACCCAATTAGAGCCATTATGACAATTATCAGTTAGGATGCTTTCTGCTGAATGAACCAAATAAGAGAAACAATGGAATTAGAAGAAAATGTAGGCTTAAAATATGAAAGAGTAAAAATGATAATTTCCCACCCTAGCTGGTTTGGCACAGTGGATAGAGCATTGGCCTGCGGAATGAAGGGTCCCAGGTTCTATTCCAGTCAAGGGCACATGTCCAGCTTGTGGGCTTGATCCCAGGGTTGTGTAGGAGGCAGGTGATCAATGATTCTCTCTCATTGATATTTCTATCTATCTCTCTCCCTCTCCCTTCCTCTCTGAAATCAATAAAAATATATATCAATAAA